TCCTTTTTAAAACCAACATTTCACACTCACTTTGCGCACTTTCTCTCGCATCCTTAACTACCGTATTATCTCTAATATAAGCACGGTCCTTTATTTTTTCAATGTACCTCCGCTCCGTGCTATTAATGGAGACGTTCCTTTATTGGAGACTGTTCCATTATTATTTCAACCTCATTTCAGAGGCATGTTGCCATGCCAAATTCATGTACGACACACACATTTCAGGGTTTTTTCGCCGGTACAGATAATGAATTTACACAGTGTGCTTATAATGGAGACTGAGCACTTTATTTTGAATGCCGCCCCAAGGTGTTCTATTATAGGAGACGTGCTATTATTGGAGACTGTACTTATATTAGAGATAATACGGTATGTTACTAGTGCATACACAAATAGGAGATCCCCCAGATAGGCGTTAGCCTTTGGGTAATCCTGAAATAAAGATTATTAATATTTATTATTATTATGATTGGTGGTTATGTAGAAGCGCTGTTTGAATGTTGCTGATGCCAGTATATTCCATTTTCTCTGTTCTTGTAGTGACTCTTGCCTTATACACAATGCTCTCCGCTAGACACGCTCTGTCCAGTGGACATCATTCTTTCTTAGGACAGGTACATGCCCTGGTGTCCTTGTCACCTCCTTTGGTTTGTTTCTTGGGTTGAAGGATCCTGTTATTGTGTTGCTAGATGATGGTGGCCATGTTCTGCATACAACTACATACGTGTATATAGCTAACTTTTATGGAGTTAGGGTTAATTGAATATTTTGTTGAGACTTGAGCCTTTAGGGAAGTGTTTGGCCACTAACTGGAGGGAGCGATGTCCAATGTCGGTGGCGGTGTTCTTCTGTTCATTCTCCATAGCTAACTTGTTTACTCTGTGAACATATGCATCCATATGTGTTACAAAGTACACATGACTTTACTCAACCAGTTGTGTTGCGCCACAATACACTGACAGTGTTGTACTAGTTTTGTAAACTTCCGCTACTTTTTTGCTTGTTTTGGCATCATTGTATTCACAATAATTCGGTCATTTTAAGTTTCAATATCAGCGACCCTTGAGCTTTGTCTGAAAACATGGATGCGACTTCAGAAACTTTCATTTGTTGTTGCATGGTCAATCGCGAGTCCTGGGGAATTTAGTCGGACTGTTTTTGTCCAGTGGTGCCGTTGTAGGAAGTAAGTTAGTTACTAGGAACATTACTACAGTAGCGCACTAGGCCTTTCCAGAAAAACATAACAAGCATACTGATCAAATCCATTAGATCGCACTAGGGAAGCTCGATAGACACAATGCGCCGAACTACTGCCAGCTGCACGGAAAACCTGCACACGTGACTCGACAAACGTACGCCAATGTGTTTGCACGTTCCGCAGAGTGTGACAGTTCACATGTGTTAGTTAGTGTCAGAGCAGCAGACAAAAGTGACAGATGAACCGCGTTTGGTTCTGTTGGGAATCTGTGAAACGTCACATGGTGAAATTGGATTCTGTGAACTGTCGCATAACCGCCTCCCACCAGATGTTCCTAGGATACAGCCCGTTCTGTACTATGCTGATTTCCGGAACCAAACGCGGTTCATCTGTCACATTTGTCTGCTGCTCTGACACTAACTACCACATGTGAACTGTCACACTCTGCCGAACGTGCAAACACATTGGCGTACTTTTGCCGAGTCACGTGTATGCCTGATCAAATTTGGTGAAATGGGCTGTCGATGAAAACAGTGCTCTGTGAACTGTCTTTCTGTGAATTGGGTACTTAGTATCCTGTGAAATGGGCTGTCTGTCAAAAAGGTAGTCTGTGAAATGTCATTCAGTGAACTGTCGTTCGGTGAACTGTCGTTCTGTGAATTGGGTTTCCGTGAACTGTCGGGACACCGCCTCCCACAATCTCCACCCCATGGCATGTGATTACTCTGGCTAAGGCTATTCCTTGTTCGTTGGGATTTGTACATGTACGTGTATCATTGTATGACTCGGATAGTGAGCCAAAAGAATATTCACGGTTCGCGTGAGACTCGGCTAGAGGACGAGTTTTCCGCATCCGTAGGAACGCCATGAACCTTCAAGTACCACCCCCCCCCCCCCCCTTGATCCTTGAAGGGTGAGCCACGGCAATATCAAACTGGAAAATATGAAAAACCTTGTTAGTCTGGGGGTACCTTGACTGACTGTTCTAATCTGGTTCAGTTGGTGGACTCTTCTAACGCATAATTTGTGCCCACCGTTGTTTCCTGTTTTCAGTCTTTACATGTACTGTACATGTGTCGCCCTGGGTTTTCCTGATCCTGGCTCTGAGATGTCGTTCAAGTGATAGCTACTGAGCCTGCATTGTACGTTCATATTGATCCGTAAATGACTTTCGTGTTTCAGCAAACTTGTGCTGGAACAGGGGAAACTAGTTTAAACATGTACATTACATTAATTTTATCATGTACATGTACATGACATGAATTTTTTCATTTGAAAACCTTCAACCTTCACTGATGAGACCTATAGTGGTCGAGACAGTGCTGTATGGAGGAAAAAAATTACATTTCAGTATCCACAACTTGGAGTCATTTTGCTGGTGTGTGAGGTCGGCCAGAGAACCGTTTGGTGGAGGTGGAATTGAATTACTTTATTGAAAAATCAATCTTAAAATGCACATGGTCGTGTTCCCGCGACAGAAATTTATTCATTCTTTCTGTACTTACGCTCAACCGATGGTGTTTGTATGTGTATGTGTGTGTGGGGGGGGGGGGGGACTTGAGGGGGTTCTCAGTTTAGGTTAGGATCTACATGGCTGTACATTATAATTCTCCTCCGCTCTGATGGCAGTGGTAAGTCAGTCAACTGCCAAGTGAAATCCGCTTTTTCTTCTTTTTTTTTGCGAAAAGCCAGGTACTCTCCCTGAAGAAGATGCCAATGTGGTGTTTAGGAACCGAACACAATACTGATCTTGGTTTCATTACAGACACGATTCACCAGAGTCTGAGTGGCTATTAGGTGGCTGCCGTACTAGGATTCTAAACATTGAGGGGAAAGAATTGTAATACAATCATGTATGTGTCAAGTTTTTCGAGATATGATGCACGACATACATGTACATGTACATGTACATTGGTGGGCGTGTAGCCAAACAGAGTGCGCTATGAACCGCAAGAGATGCGTGCGACAGAATCATACTCATGTCAAAAGAGAGGTACTGGGTGGCGTAATGTGCTTGGCTGTATTGTTCAACAGGGTGATGCAGCGCCGAAACGCATTTACCTTTTCACTGCCCTTCTTCCTAAAAGCGTCGGCATTATTATTTGCTAGGCATTCTGACATCCAATGTGAGTGGGGTTGAAATTCACATCTAAATCTACATGTACATGTGACAGTGGCGCAACAGATATCATGTGTAGCAATACAAACTGAGCTCGAACATGTATTCCCAGGCAAGCCAGCATACAATTGAAGCTCAGAAAAACTCTTGGCGAGTGCTATCCTATAGTAGTCTCTTGGGTTGGGAAGAGAATTTAACCGTATAGATTCTGGCATGCGAGAAACGCAATGTCGGATAGTGCACATGGAGTGTGGCCTCGATAATTGTGTAGATATCTACACGTAAGCTATAGCTACCTGATGATTGTACCATGAACACGGTATTGTGGATATAATACAGCAAATATCATACTACTGGTGGTTTCTGCGCAATTATGGCATATCCGCTAAGATGGGTGTATTGGTGGAGGCTCTCACCACGATTATACATGTGTGTAAATCGTCCATGTACTGATGTAGACGATCTGGCTCTCTTCAGCTGCCAGACGGACGTTGAAACCAACAAGCCCACAAATGTTTCTCCAGTACCAGCTTTACCAGGAATAGACTTTGGCGTTTGAGGAATGCCATTCCCAGTAACAAGACGTCCAATATATCTTCGAACAGCGCGCTTGGTGAGAGAGTGATATGGGCGCGGAGGTTTAAGGCAGTCCAATGCAGTCTTCAAGGTGACCTGAATGCTCTCATGAGGAACCCACATACAATCGTACGTCCAAGGCTCACTGCATTATTCTATTTTTTCAGACATTCAGACTCATTGCATTATCCACACACCCTAGAACAAAACGAATAGTATTACGATTACGTTAGGCGTTCTTGCGAGCAAGCTGGACCCTGGCTTCATTAGGTTCAACTCCCACAATTTTGCCTCTCTTTCCAAATTTAGAAGCTAGGCGTGCAGTTAAACTACAAGTTCCGCAGCCAAGGTCAAGAGTACAATCCCCATCTTTTGTTTTTAAGTCATGGTCCATGAGAGATACTCCCATTCGGTATAGGAATCCGGAAATATCCTCATAGAGCTTTGCTTTTCCTGCAGACATGTTCATTGTTGGTGTTGTCAATACTGCGTCTGTTTCTAAATGATCTATATCTTTTTGTACAGGTAATTGGTGACCTGAAATCTTCTTCACTGCTGCATAAAAAGAAAAAAAGTGAGTGAAATTGATGCGGCGCTTGGTTTCCATACTTTCGGGACACTCCATGCAGAAGAATGCTGACCCTGAACTGGCTGCCTTTGTGACTGACGTTCCCAATCACAACGCTTTGAAGATGATAAGCTGTCACAGGAGCATTGAGTGGCTAGCTAAACCTTACAATAGGGATAGAATATCGTGCTACTGGGCAACTAAGTGTGCATGTACGTCCTCTGCGAGCAAGAACTGGAAGACTTCTTTTATTCACATTCAAAGGAGTAACTGTGTTCAAGAAATTTGGCTCCGTTGAATAAAATGACTTCAAAGGCAATGCGAGGATCTGCCTTTTGAAGTACAATCAGTCATGTGCATTGCACTTGTAATTTCTTCTCTACGAGTAGAAATGGCTGTATGAAGGTAAAATAATATGTATGAGAACGTAGGGGCAGCTAGTTAATGTAGGAGTTATACAGGGTTACTGTACAAGTGGGTACCGACAGTTTTCACATCATTGCAGAAACAGCGTTTTGGGTAGAATTTATATGCAGCAGTCATTGGCCCTCTGGCGATTTGTGCGCAATCAGACGGACGTAGTTTGATTCCGTGACGACTTTGTCAGACCTCGACTTGATACCGTGGGCCTTCATCAGTGAACTGACATCGTTATCCATTATAGCATATCCGCTAGCATGCGTATCCAGATAGGCTCTCACCACGTTGATACAGGTGTCCAAGTTGTCCAGGCAGGCCCTTGCACTCTCTTCGGCCGCTACAGACACATCGAATCCAGCAAGCTCACACATACTTTTCCATTTTGCTCCGGCTTCACCAGGAATATACTGCGGAGTTGGAGGAGTTTCATTTCCCGTCACAAGGCGTTCTATATCCTCAAACAATGCTTTGGGTGAGAGAGCGATGTGGGCACAGAGCAATCCACCTGGCTTCAGGCAAGCCAGTGCACCCCTCAATGTTTCGTGGATACTCCCATCAGGTACCCAATGGAGGACGTAGTTGGAGAAGATACTATCGTATGGCCCAAGGCTCAGCATATCATCCACAAGACCTACAACGAACCGGATATTTTGGTGATGGCGCTGAGCATTCGTACGGGCAAGCTCGATCCTGCCTGCATTAGGGTCAACTCCCAGAACGTTGCCTCTCAGTCCAACTTTAGAAGCAAGGCGTGCCGTTAGACGACCTGTTCCGCAGCCAAGATCGAGAATGCAATCTCCATCTTTTGGTAGCAAGTCATTGTCCATGAGGGACACTCCCATTTGGTACACGAAATCAGAATTATCATCGTATAGCTTCGCTCTTTCCTCAGACATACTTCTGCTACATCCGCATCTACCGTTATGCAGTTGGGGAAACAGAGGAGCTGGAATCGGAAAATGATCTTTCTCTCTGTCGTAACGTTATGAAGACACTGCCTGGCAGGCTGCAGCAGCTCTTATATACCATGTAAACTTGTCGGAACAAAATGAAACGAAATGAAACGAAATGAAGCACGAAGTATGGGCGCAGATGGGCTGCGATTTGGAAGCGATATACGGGCGTAGATGGGCCGCGGTACAAGCGGCCACGTTCGAAAAGAACTGAATCCAACGTGTCCAACCATTGAAATTGATTATTTGTTTGCAGAGGCAAGGGAGAGTCTGTGTACTAGTATTGCAGTTGTCCGAGCGCCATGAAGGCCTGCGAACGCAGTTTGGTCTATATATTTAATCCTTCAACATCTACCTTCACTGATGAGCTATGTATTAGCGAAACAGCTGTCTGAAGGAGTTTATTAATATCGTCTACGGAAGTGTCCTCGCCATGGTGATGGTTGTGTGCAGGAGGGTGTAGTCGGCTAAAGAGCGCTAGCGTGTAATGGTGGAGGTGACTCAACATTTTCTTCAATGGCCGAGAGCTCTGTCGCACCCTGTAATAATATGATACGTGCGCCGTTAACGTCAGAGCAAGAAGAGGGACAGGACGAGTCAAGGGACAATCCGGAGGACGCAATACCATACGACCAACTGTTTGTTTCTACCAGCGTTATTGTACCGTCGACACGGCTCTGACGACGATATACTGGGCGAATGCCGCGGGGCCTCCCAGCGTGTCAGCGGCAGTGGGTGATGGGCAGATAACAGGGTAGCTTGCGGACAACATCGTCGGCATGAAGCCTATTGACTGCCAAGCGTCTTGGCGCGACGGGCGAGCAGTACAGTGTCATACCCCAGGGGCTGCTGTGGCTGTCGACTTTGGCGGGTCGTGAGGTGTGTTCGCAGGCCTTCATGGCGCTCGGACAACTGCAATACTGGGTACACAGACTCTCACTAGCTACATAGACCACCCTTTTCAGGTGATCTACGGATATTTCCCCTGGCTTGAGGGGATTATGGCTACAAAAATTATCAGAGTCATAATCCCCTCAAACGAGGGGATCTCATATCCACAGGAAATCCTGTGGATCCCCTCGGACGGTGGGTCGGACTCAGTCCTTCTACCAGCTCTCTTGGCTGCTGCTTGAATATGCAAGAAGGGGCCTTCCAGATAAGGTCTAAAAAGGGGAAGTGGCTATAGTTGTCAAAAGAAAAGCATATTGGTGAAACAAAACTAGGGAAGTGGCAATCTTTCTATCAGCAACCAACAAGAGCATCTTAATTTGCAACATGCTACATGAACCGGGTGTGACGAACACCGGTAAACATAGAGACACACCACACTCTCATATAGATACTGGTTATAAATAGACCGAGTAAGGAAAATAATCCAATAGCCTATGGAGAGTAAAAGAAATTGAGTCAATGACAACAAATGCTCGTCCAGCACACGAGTTGTCATAGAAACATTGAACGATATGACAAAGACGCATAGTACTAATGAGCATCGCCGTTCAATGCAAACTTTGGTTTCTACTAATTCTAGTACAGTGTTTGGAAAATTCCTTCTTTCACAGACCTGAAAGATTTTAATCTTTGCAGCAGTTAGCCTACTACTAACTCAATGTCATTGGTTCTACATGTACGTGTAGATGTACCCATTCACGCTCTACTGGTCTTGTCAAATTTGTTCCACACGATCACAAACAATCCATCTTATGTCGGATACTCTTACACCATTTGACTAAGCCATGGGACGGACGTCAGTGTCTGACAATTCTTCATTGTAGTCTTTGATTTGTAGGGAATAAATCGCCTCCACGCCGGTAGGTGACAGACGTACAGAGCACCTCAAATTATTTTCAAATAATTACAATATCTACTATTTCGTCGTCTTCACTTGATCACTATCAGTATCGCTTTTCCCCACGGTCTTGGCAAGCAGCAGAGTTCATGAGGCTTCGTCTTGGGAGACAAACCAAAGAAAGTGTGTGACAATCCGCATTCGCCTCAGTCAAACCAATAAGTGGATCAAAACCTGGAGAGGCGATGAACAAACGACTATATCAGAACTACTGGTACTTCGCGTTCGGTGTTCCGTTCACAGTGCACTGGTTCATGCTGCATGTAGCGCTGCTGATCACCCGAAAAGTGTGGTCTATACAGGATATTGCACAGTGTCCGCGAGGATTATTTTTCATAATCCCCGCGGCGCTGCGCGCCTTGGGGATTTGAAAAATGATCCCCTCGGTGCCGAGGGGATAGTACTCTGATTCTGACACGTTATTTTATGCATTGAATAGTGATTGATTTTCCGCGCCGAATTTCCGACGCTGCATGCATGTCCAATGCGCGTCAACAGTACTTCACACTTTCCTTTACCCGCGTTATCACCTCAGCTATGCCAGTTTTGTATGTGGAAACCCCCTATATAATAGCAGTTTGGTCTATTTATTTAATCATTCAACATCTACCTTCACTGATGAGCTATGTATTAGCGAAACAGCTGTCTGAAGGAGTTCATCAATATCGTCTACGGAAGTGTCCTCGCAATGGTGGTTGTGTGCAGGAGGGTCTAGTCGGCTAAAGAGCGCAGTGTAATGGTGGAGGTGACTCAACAGGCAAGGGAGAGATAGCAATTAGATGGCTTGCGAGTGACTGCATGAGCCGAATTTATTGCCCGTGGAAGTACCCACGACAGGAATACACTGTTGGGAACATACGGTGGTGGTGGTCCAATCTAGATTAAATTTTACTTTCAGCTAATCGTTGAAGTGTTGACGCTCTGTCCATTGATTTGCCAGAGATAGTTTGCAAGTGATAGCAGGAGCCAAATTCACTGCCCGTGGAAGTACCCACGATGTGAATACCTCTCTTTCTTTCTCTCTCTCTCTCTCTCTCTCTCTCTCTCTCTCTCTCTCTCTCTCTCTCTCTCTCTCTCTCTCTCTCTCTCTCTCTCCCCCCGTAGCTCTCTCCCTTTTGAAATTCGCTTCAATAGAATTGGGCACCATTGCCCGTTTGGCCTTGCGAAGTAAAATAAAAATCAACAACAACATCAACAACAACATACACTGTTGGGAACATGGTGACGATGGTGGTGGTCCAATCAATTAATTTTTACTTTCAGCTCATCGTCCTTGTCGGTGAAGATACTAGTGGTCAGCGTTGACGGTCTTTCGAGTGATTAGCCAGCGATAGTTTTCGAGTGATAGCACCAGCCGGATACCATGCTAAAGAGTAATGGATGCTGGTAACACTTTGCCAGAGAACCCCGTCTAGTGCTGTGGCCAGGGTGTAAATAAGTTGCTCACTGGATGAGCACTGATATGACGTGCTTTTTGTCCTCTTCCAAAGAAGGAGTCTCAGTGAACAATAATATAACTAGCAATAACTTGTTACACACTTTTATCCCTCCCCTAGTTGGAACAATCAACTTCATGACTATTACCGCCGAAGTCGCAACTTCTAAGTTAATAACTTGTTGCACACTTTTATCCCCTCAAGAGGCTGCCTTGCGTCTTCTTCCCTGGGCTGAGTCCAATAGTGTCCTGTATATAATTTGTGATGTAAGTTGCCCACCCTTCTCTTGTAGAATTGCCCTCCTTGAGATGATAGTACACTTTGTGTTCTTGGAAAACGGTCTGCACCTTCCAGGGTGGTATAAAAGCTTGCAAATCTCATGTTGGTGCAGAATGTTTGGAGGACTGGTTTGGAAACAGTTGTCAAAAATGTCTGCACAATTAATTGTTATAGTGTCTTCTGCATGCTGCATTATTGTGGAGAAAGAAAGTTCAGGTTAGTGGAACTGCCCAATTCCCAGTGGACATGTTTATGCTGCAACCATTTACTGCTGACACAATTTATTTAAGGAAAAATTGGAGGCGTATCAAATTTCGAAAGAAGAGGTGTCAGCACCAACGCAATCCACACAGTCAAGTAAGCCAATTCAGTAACCGAACGTTTTCGCTCCCTTCTCATCATGGTTAAGTACAGGAAATATGGGAAAAATGTCAAAATACAGCAACTTATAGAGCTACAGAAAAAGCATAGATCGAGAACCTCACGCTATACGTGTCGAAAATAAAATAAAATTCAGCAGAACTGTTCGGCTACAATTTATTTATTATCTTAAATATTTTTAAGAACTTTGAAACTCCACTGTAGCCTTGTCATATTTTCAGTATACCCAACTCGCAACATACTAACAGTCCTTGGCTACAACACGTACAGTTGAAATTGTCCACATTTTCACCCAGGAGGGCATCATAAGGGATTATACATGTAGGAAAAGAATGATACAAAGTTGGCTTTTATAAGACAGTATAGGAACAGTCACATAATTCACACTACATAATTCACACAATAATAATAATAATAATAATAATAATAATGTAATCTGAAACACGTTACAAGCTAGCACTAAGACATAACAATGTAAGTGAGCATTTCATCACGTGCACAGTGGGCGTGAAACAGCCATGGTTGAGTTGATGTGTGTGTGTGTGTGTGTGTGTGTGTGCGTGTTTCTGTGGTGAGAGGGGAGGGGGGTTAAGAGTCAAGTATGGAGTGTGTTAATCTTCTCAAGCTCTCAAGTCAGGTGTGGCTATCCATTCGAGATGTCGAATCTGAGATCCCGCACTCGCTGTGATAACAACAAGGTGTGGAATACCCAGTCTGTAGATCAGCCATGTGCTGGGAAGTTTGATTCATGCCAAAAGGCGCCAACCCTCGCACTTTGGGTATGTACGTTCTGCCCGAGTCCTCGTGATTGATTCCATTATTCTACCTTCTCTTTCATTCACTGACCAGAACCTCGAACTACGGTACGAGCCCACCGCACCTAAGATAGATGGCCGGAATCTAAAACTCGAGAAGTACTTTGGTGGTCGCTTGCCGGTCTAGGCACTGAAGCATCAATTTTAATCTGGACATTGCCTGTCCCCTCTGCCAGCGCATCTTACCAACAAGGGGCTATATGGCAAGACTCCACGGCTCATACTTGCCATGACGACATACCTTTGTCTTGCTGGTAAGTGCTGTACCATATGTTCTCTAAGACATTCCCAGGTCTCCAATAGTGACCTAGGGCAAGGGTAATTATTGATAAGAGCACAGTCCCACATAGTAGTCCATGCTACATTTTGAGTATGCAACAGAACAGTGATTGCATAGCAAATAAACTGTAGTGGTCATACATGTATGTCTGTTGCTGGCACTGATCTGGAAAGCGTCTACATAATGGATTCTGGATATGTTTGTATCCTCTGTTTTGTTTGTTCAGGCGAATATTATGAGTGGCGTCAGAGCCCTCGCAGCAATGAGGCACGCACGCCTACCTTCATCAGTTAGGACAACCAGATGCTGGAAAAGATGCAGGACGGGACTCGTTCCTACTTTCCCGTGGTGTTGACCTACTGGCACGCATGCGATGTCACAATTCTTACGCTCCTCCGCTCCAGGACTTTGAGCAACAGCCTCAGCGCTCTGCGGAATCAAATCCTAGAGGTACATTCCGAGGAGTACATCCGTCGGTACGCTGACAACCAACACACTCAAGCTCCTTAAAATTAATGAGACTATCCGTACACATTGTAACTCAAACCTGTTGTAATAGATCTTGTGCGGAATCGCTTGAATGGTGCCCAGAGCGAGGAAAATCAGCAACTTGAAACTCATGTTCTACCTCTCAATTCAATGCAATCAAGCATTTCGGATAATTGATCCTTCGGATAGTTGAAATGAGGATAATCGGCACGTTGTGTGTGATTGAGGGAGGGGGGTCCAGGGGGCCGTGGTGGACGAGGACTGGTACAGAGCATGGAGATAACCTCACTTTAGATAAATACACATTCAAACGGTGGATGCTTTCTGTAATGTTCTGGGACATTATTATTATTACAGTAATGGTCAAACCAAAGCACTAACAAAGACAAAACTAAAGCCCAAGAACCAGGAACATAAAGCACAGAGAAAGGGAACAAAACAGATACACATATAAATATCGTACAAGATACTATAATAGTACAATACTATAATAATAGTATTAACCAGGAGGCCTGCAACATCACATTCCTCCTTTTCTCGAAAGTCTACAACTACAGTCCATAGAAATACTGACCATAGCGAACTTCAACGTAGCATTTCAACAAACTAAATAAACCAAAATAGGCTGTCCAAAACGCGACGAATAACCAAAAGCGTTCTATCAATCCATGTCATAAAATATGTAAATATACAGTATAATGCAAGCTCATACATTGTTAGCCGAACGACCAGTCAAACACAACTGTCACACAGCCTAGTCAATGCAGAACAGAACAAGGGCCGGACAGGTTCCTTAGCATTTCACGCTTAACCTGTCTGACCTGCGGGGCTCCGCACGATGCTGGGGTGCCTCTTGCACTTCGGGGCTAGGTTCAGCTGGATGCTGCTGCCGGAATGGTTTGGTGAACTGTACGTTCCTCCGCACAAGCTTCCCATCCGGTGCCTGAACCACTACTTGGTCCCCATTCCGACTAACCACCACATGAGGTTGGTGATGGAATGGTGTGTCGACCTTCGACCGTGTCTCCGAACGCTTTAGCAGTACTGAGTCACCTATCTGCGTTGACTGGCTTGTGGCATGGTTGGCGTCATCTGCAGAGTCACGCATACTCTGCTTACGCTCGCTGTCACGATCTCTGACGGCCTCGTTTGTCGCTGGTTCACCGAGGGCTGGTAACTTGCAGTGCACTTTGCGCCCAAACAATAACTCAGCTGGAGCAACTCCGGTGGTGCTATGTGGCGTTGAGCGGTATGCCATCAAGAATCGTTGAACCTCCCGCTTCCACGTCTTTCCTTCCGCATATGCAGCACGGATCACTTTCATCAGGGATCGATTTTGTCGCTCAACTTCACCGTTAGCTCTCGGCCACAGTGGTGTAGTACGAAGCTGTTGAACACCACACTCATGTAGAAACTTCGCAAACCCTTCCGAGTTGAAAGGTGGGCCATTATCCGTACGCAAACTCGTCGGGATACCGTGTCGGCTGAACTGGGCTTCAATCATCGGAATCACAGCTTCAGCTGATGTTGACTTGACCACATCTACTTCGAAATATCGACTGTAGTAATCCACAAGCACCACAATGTGCTCGCCAGACGGTAGTGGACCCAGCAAGTCAACAGCCAAATGCTGCCATGGCGCATCTGGAAGAGGAGTGGACTTGACTGGCGGTGCATTGGCTGGCGCTGCAACCACTTGGCAGGCATGACACGACTTGCAGAGCTTCTCGGCCTCGCTATCCATGCCTGGCCACCAAACCTTGGACCGTAGACGCTCTTTCGTCTTCACGATGCCCTGGTGGCCCTCATGTGCCAACTGCACGGTCTGGTGTCGCAACTCGCTAGGGATAACAATGCGTTGACCTCTGAGCACCACCTTGCCAACAACAGTCAATTCTCCTCGGACCTGACGGTATGCTGCTGGCAGACCATCCCAAGATCCGTCATGAAGGCACTTGCGAACAGCAGATAGCTCTTCATCTTCAGCTGAGCTACGTTCAATCGTTCTGATACCGATAGCGATGGGTGCTGCTATCTGAGTGATAAGTCTAACCGACTCTTCATCACTGCTGATTCCTGGATCCGCCGCTGCAACGGGCAGGCGAGATAAAGCGTCAGCGATGTTCGTCTTTCCAGGAATGTGCTGGACTCGATAGCTGTACGGCTGTAGGCGCAGGACCCATCTCTCGATCCTGGCACTGGGCTTGGATCTTGCCGAATAAATCACTTCCAGCGGCTTGTGGTCGGTGCAGAGTGTAAACTCCCTGCCTAGCAGATAGGTGTGAAATCGTTCACACGCCCAGACAATACCAAGAGCATCTCGCTCGGTCTGCGAGTACCTCCGCTCTACCGCTGACAGTGATCTGCTCGCATACGCAACTGGCCGCCAAACACCATCCTGCTTCTGGACAAGCACAGCTCCGAGCCCAACTGGACTGGCATCCGTCACTAACTCGATCGGCGCTTCAGCATCATAGTATGCCAGTGTTGAGCTGGACACCAGTAGTCGCATTGACTAGGCTGTGTGACAGTTGTGTTTGATTGGTCGTTCGGCTAACAATGTATGAGCTTGCATTTTACTGTATATTTACATATTTTATGACATGGATTGATAGAACGCTTGCTGTTGCTCTGTAGTCCACTTGAACTGAGCTCCCTTGACCGTGAGGCGACGCAGTGGCTCAGCAACTGTAGCAAAATCAGGGATGAATTTTGCACTGAAACCGGCTGTACCGAGGAAGCTTCTTACTTCCGACGCATTGCTCGGCCTGGATGCTTCCGCCAAGGATCGTATCCTTTCCGGAGTTGGCTGTATGCCCTTGTCAGATATCTGCAAGCCGAAGAACTCAATGGAGCTCTTAGCGAACTCACACTTTGCTGGGTTGACTGTGAGGTTGACCTGCTGCAAGCGATTCATCAATGCATGAACCCTCACATCATGCTGGTTCAGTGAGTCCGCATGTAGCAAGATATCATCAGCTCCGTTTCTGCAACCGGCCAAATCCTTGATCACATCGCTGATGATCTTCTGGTACAGCTCTGGTGCTGAACTTATACCAAATGGCAGTCGACGAAACCGGTACAACTTCCCATTTGCAGCAAAAGTTGTCAGGTAGCGGGACTCTTCTTCCAACTCTACTTGGTGAAATCCCCACTTCAGGTCAATCTTCGAAAACACCGTGCTGCCATTGACTTCATGCAGCAACTCCTCTGTTGTTGGCATCGGATGTCGTTCTCGGACGATGGCTTCATTGACCCGGCGTAAATCCACGCACAAACGGATGTCGCCATGCTTCTTTGGTGCTATCACAATTGGGCTTACCCACGGCGTCGGGCCCACAGCTTCTTCAATAATTCCTGATTGCTGTAACTCCTGAAGTTTTTCATCCACCTTGGTTTCATACGCATATGGTATCCTACGCTGGCGTTGGGCCACAGGTGGAACTTCAGAGTCTACATGAAGACGTGCTTGGTAGCCAATTAACTTGCCCCCACCACTGAACACACCAGGATACTCATTCTTGATTTCATCGTTGATACTGGGGCTAGCTGTGGCGCTGCCAACTTGATTCACGTCAGGTAGCACCAAGGCCTTCAACTTGAGTGCAGTACTACGTCCCAGCAAGAACTCTCCATCTCCTCTGACGACGATCACTTCGTCCTCAGTGCGCTCTGAGCCGCATTGGAAAATTGCAGTAAACTTGCCGACGACATTCAGCTGGTGTGCTCCATACGCGAAAAGCTTCCTGGTGCACTTCGTTGTTAGATATTGCATGCGTCTTCACTCTGTACATTGACTCTTGATTTGACGGCTGCATGCATCTCTTGTATTTATGGCTACTGTGTGTTACCGTCGGACAACATTACGATTTATTGTTACATGTACGTTCTATGTCAAGTCAACCCTGTTCCCATTCGTTTCAGTCTAGTTCTATACTTACTGCCATGACTTGTCCCGTTTATGGTTATACAGTCTTCTTCTTTTCCCGTCGTATTGCTTTCGTTTACCGGAGACTTCTACGGTATGTCTCTATTCGCCTCCACGATGTCCTTATCCTGACACTAGCATTTTCTGCGTCGCGTACGGCTGGTGGGAATATCTACCCCAGCCGTCGTGATGTAGACGCTTCCTCATCATAACTACTTGGAGGACAGTCACGAGTTTGAGTATCTCTGATACTAATGATAATGATTCTTACTGAAGTATGAGGAGAATTATTTCCGAGTGGAAAGACACTGAGTGTCTGTGTGTAATAACTAAATGAGCTCAACGAAGAGCCAAAACGTCCTTTAGGATTCTACTACTACTAGTACGGGCAGAACCAGAGTAGGATCTCTAAAATTCGTCAAAGTGACACCGAGGCCTTGCAATTGCAGCTGGCCCAAAGTCGATTCTCCCAACAAGTTGCATGATGCTCCAGAATCGACTAGCACTCGCGTCGACACCCCATTGAGGCTGACATCGATAGAGGCCTGTGTCAAATATTAATTACCGTGTTCCTCGCACTCCAAACACAAAATCGTCTACATCTTGAATTTGATTTGCCGAGTGATTTTCTTTTCTGTACAAACTTGCCTTTCCCGACGACTTGGGAGCGTGACGCGTGTTGCCTGTACGCTGTTTGTCACCTCCGTTGCATTTGGATGCGAAGTGACCGTTTATGCCACACTTTCTACACCTTTGGCCACGTGCAGGACAGTTCCGGTCGCGGGCGAAGTGGCCAACTATTTCCGCAGTTGTGACACTCTTGCTGGGGTACGCCGTGCACAGCATTCACACTTCCTGGTGCAGCTTCACCCGTACCGTACGAACTGGACCCATGCCCATCATGGCTTGCACTGTGACTTGTACTGTGACTTGTACTTGTCGATGTTGACATATCACGTGCGTGCTGCTCCGTTGTTTCATACTCGCGACCTTTTTTCAAGGCCACCGCCAAAGTGAGGTCGTCGACTTCTAACAATTTCTTTCTGAGGCGATTGTCCGATATCCCTATGAGCAGTTGGTCGCATACATGATCCTCCATGTCGGTGCCATAGTCGCAGTATTTGCCTTGCCCAAGCAAACGGGTCGAAAACTGAGATACTGTTTCACCAGTCCGTTGTGACATCTGACGAAGCTTATAACGTTCGAACCTCTTGTTGGCCACGAACTCGAAAGCCTTGTCCAAAGCACTCACAGCTCGCTCGAATAAATTGTCGGTATCCTCATCTTCTGTTAGCGTTTCGAATTTCTCCTGTACTGGCATACCAGCCAAGTACAGCAACAGACTCCTCTGCCTCTTCGCGGATGTTATGTTCTGCCCATCCACATAGTACTGGAATGATCTCTTCCACCTGCGCCATCTTGCAGAAACTTCATGGGCAGGACCCTCGAGATCGAACGGCTCCAAAGCCGGGCCTACTCCTGTGAGCGCCATTGTCACTGAGGCCTACTCAGGTCATCTATATGACTATAACTATTAAATCTAGTTCATCTTCGTCGCCAATGTAATGTTCTGGGACATTATTATTATTACAGTACTGGTCAAACCAAAGCACTAACAAAGACAAAACTAAAGCCCAAGAACCAGGAACATAAAGCACAGAGAAAGGGAACAAAACAGATACACATATAAATATCGTACAAGATACTATAATAGTACAATACTATAATATAGTATTAACCAGGAGGCCTGCAACATCACACTTTCCACCATCTTTTTCCCTTATCCCCCCCCCCTCTCCCCCTTTTTCTGCGAGAACATTAGCCCCCTCCCTGTGCAGGTTTTGTGTCTTGCTATCTCCCTAACTCACGCTCACCACCACGCACATTTGTTGGTAACAGCGTACTACCTACATGTACAATCTTCTCTGAGTGTCACGCTTATAGGCAGCATCAGACATTAGCTTCCGGAGAAAAGACATATACTCCCTAAGGGTTTGGTCACGACTCATTTCCAGACAACAGAAGGAGAACCATTTTACTAGCTTGACAGCTGTGCACACATCGCGCACGTAACGTCTGCAGAGTTGCTGTTGGGAAAAGTCATTTTGACACCTGGTACTGTAGCCATGCCTGTGTACATTTGTTGCGTGACAGTGGCCTAGATACAAGTACATGACATTGTATTGATGTCAGGTTTAAAAATAATGGTGTTAGTGCGTGGGATGTGGTGCTATTGAGTATTGTTAAATTATTTCAGGTTATGTTTAGTGTTATGGTGAATATGGAGAGTCGAGAGGACTTGATAAACTGGAAATGTTTAAATGTTGTGGTTGAAGATGTAATACAGATGGCGATCACAGTGCAGATCGATTGGGCTAGATGGAGTGGTGCAGAAGATCAGATTGATGCTGACGTGATAGCAGCGTGTATGGCAAGTTAAAAATTACTATGGGGAGAGGTGTCTAGCATGCGTTATAAAGCAGTAGCATCGAATAATATAGGACATTATCAGGAGGCAGAAGGTATGATATTCCTACGTTCATTGATTGCAAAGACGTGCAGAAGCCTTCATATCTACATATCCCATATTTTTGGCGTTTAAGGGTGCATTTGGTTGGTACGACCTAGAACGGGAATCATCAGAACAGCACGTTTGGTTGGGACTGCACCTGTTCTGGGTCGGCCAGAACATGTTCTGCTTGCTCCGCCACGAGGCCGAGCAGTTTCACTTTTCACAGTGAAACCTGGCGGGAACATTGATTTTTCTCACAAATGATCACGTGTATACACTTTTGGATTGCACTTGTTGTACCGTTCAAGGTGACCATGGTGACTTGTACACATTTTGAAGAATATAAACAAGTTTTATTTTAGTTCTTTATTATTTCTGCACCTCGTGGCGTGTGTTTGATCCTGTTCTACTGTGTATCGTATCGTTTTGTGAATTTAAAATGGTGATAAAAAGGTAGACGGACTTGGATGGAGAGCCAAGGATTAATATAGCAAAGAACTGGGACCAAAGAGCTACAAGTCACGCTATAATGTCCACTAACACCACCAGTTACTAAAAAATCAGCTCATGCGATAACATTGCATGAGCCCTCCTTATCTATGCGGCGAAACAATCGAGGTGTAAAATTGCTGCTTTTAACCGCTGCTTATTGTCCATCTAAATTGTCATAGTCGAAGGGCAGTGCTGTTTTACGGAGGCGTTTAGTTTTACACGATTCTTGTTCGCATAGCTTCCCTTTTACTAGTAATTGATCTTCTAATCTTTGAGCCACACAAGTTGTGTGGAATGTTGCTTTGCGTCCTTGAATCGTGGTTTGACCGTATTGTCCAATGGTCTTGCCAGTATCGTCATCGACATGCATGAACATCCGCCAACACCCTTCACAGCTGAAACTTTCAGCTCGTGCTTGTCTTGGGTTCGCTCACCTTCCCCTCTTATGTTATCATATAACTTAGAACCTTCCAAGTTGGAAGGCTGTTGGAGTGCGCATCCATGATGTGCTAGAGCTGTTAGCCAGTCAGTTGTAGAGTGTCTGTACCGTCAGTCAGCTTCGTGCAATGTTACCACATGA